GCCCATTCAACTGATCCTCCACCCTCCTACATTTTTGCTCTACGACAATAAGTGAATCATTTGCAAGATTCATGGGACGTGGATTTACTTGCACATCATCACCTAAAATGTCTGCCTCCATATCACCTAGATTCATTTGTTGCACATTAAGATTTTGAACTCCTTAATTCCTGCTCCCTGACATATTCGGAGCAGAAGATTCAGCCCCCATCGGACCACCGGTTCCACCACCAGTTCCGTCAGATTTTAGATCCTTGTCCGACCGGAGCCACTTCACACCCACCTAAGTTATCCGTTTCGTCTCCGCTTTAAGCCAAGGTCCGAATGCATATCTATCTCTTGGGATTTGTGGTGGTTCATATGAGAGATGACAAAACCTATCAGAGTGACCAATCATCCCATAAAAATAACAAAAGTTATTAAGCCTTTCGTGCATGAAATTCACCCATTCCTATTCACCTTTTGGCTTCTTGACACAGACTTCCTCTTTAATGGCTTACAGACATCAATGCACACCCTAATATGCATATTCTCGCCAAGTTCGTGTGAAATTACAGGGATTAGATGCCAAAAACTCACCCATGTAATTTCCAAAATCACATGCATATTGTTCCAACATAAATCCATTGGGGAAATCATAAACTTGAACCCATACATCCAATTTTGTTAATTCAACTTCTTTTGGCTTTTCATCAGGTTTCAATTTATGCAATAGTAATGACATTTGCTGAAAATTCCATGGTGCCCCTTGAATAACATGGTCTACATCCTGCTAGTGAAAAAAATTGAAACAAAAACGCATTATTTTCCAACTCCTTCATTAGGACCCTCATTACTGGCCTCCATATAGTGCGCCATGATCTGTTTGAAAACAAAAAAATTTGTAGCTTTTTTCGTAGGTGATCGTCCTACCACACAATACTGCGAATCGAATTCTTGTTCATTAGCTTCACTATCTTCCCCCTCATCCACATATTCCATCTGTCGATGATCATTATCCAAATTAAGACGTTGGTACACCTGTTCTACCAGCCTATCCTCCTCAATGCCAACCTCCATAAAAAAAAGATAAAGTAGAAAAAGAAGAAGAGATTTGAGAAGAAAAAAATTAAAGGAGATAAACTATATAAAGTCAAAGCTCAATCGAAAAGTAATAGAAAGAAGAGAACTTATTATTAGGCATGGCCGGTTCAATGAACTGCCGGTTTCGGTTCATTGAACCGCCGGTTTGAAATATTTAAAATTTTGAACCGGAACCGGCCCTTGAACCTCCGGTTCTGGTTCCGGCACGGTTCAGCACGGTTCCGGCGAACCGACGGTTCAAATTACGGTTCCGATTCGGTTCCGGCATTACGTAAATGAACCTCGCCAGGTTCTCGGTCCGGCACGGTTCAGCAACGGTTCCGTAGCGAACCGACCGGTTCAAATCCGGTTGCGCGATCAGGGTGATCACGGATTACTTAAATTTTTTTAAAAACAAATAATAAAATCTTTGATTTGAATCCCAGATGAATAAATAAGTAATTTTAAAATGTTTAAATTTTATTAACTAAAAATTATGTACATAAAAAGTTAAAACTCAAAACTATCTATTAATTTTGAGAACTAATTATTACATTAAATTTACAAATTTTGCTAACTCACTAATATTTTAGATAAACATTATAATTTTTTTTATTTGGGCTTGAAATAAATTAAAAATTGAAAAATTAATTTTAATTGCCTACGTATCTCTTTCTGGAAAATTTAGAGGAAAATCCAAAGCTCATTGATAGTTCTTTTTGTTTTATTACATTGGAAAAAACGGCCCGTGCCGAATATTACAGATTAATTTAGGGCGTTCATCCGTGCCGACTAGTCTCCGTTAAGGAGTCGGAATCAAATCATTCGTCGCCTTTGAATTTTGCTGGTCTTGAGTCTCAATGCCGCTCTAGTCTCAATCGGTCAACCACCACTCTTTTGGCATTTCCACATTATTTGGCGATAATCTTGACGCGTAGGTGGATTCTTAAAATTTGTCCACCCGCAACTAAAGCTTTCCACTGCAACAGTAGAAACTGGACAAGCAAGAATATCTTTAGCAATAACGGCTAAGAACTGGAAAGCGATTTGACAGTGCTTTTTTCCACCACCAAATTATTCTTCAAATTTTGTTGGGTCTTCATTCGCATTCATCACTCTAAAAAACTCAAAAATTTGTGCTGACAATGTCTCAATTTCCTGCCTGGTTATGACATGTGGACCCCCCCTTGATTTTTTTGAAACATTTGCATGAAGGTAAATTGTGTCTAGAATGAATTTAGGGAGTTGTGCTGTAGTTTGTGGTATCTTGAAAACTTGAGTATGAATGTGGACCCTCCCTTGATTTTTTTGAAACATTTTGCATGAAGGTAAATTGTGTAGAATGAAATTTAGTGGATTGTGTAGTTTGTGGATCTGAAACTTGAGGAAGGGGAGATACTAATTTAGAATACTCATCATACAATTAACGGACATACCTTAAAACATTATTAGTAAGAGAAAAATAATCTGCCTCAATATTAAAAGATCCATAATAAAGACGAAAAAAATTCTTGTAATGCAACTAATTTAAATCTAGGACAAAGAAAAAATGCAACTAAATTTAAATCCGGAATTGGTTGGATAAAGTTGAAAATGTGATGCATGCAATTGCATAAATGAAGAAAGAATAGAAAAGAATATCTTTATATCTCATAAAGACTCATTTAACATTTTATAAGTTGAATTCCACCTTGTAGGAATATCTCTTGAAAATTTCTTTATATTTTTTTCCCATAGAGTGACAAAATTTTTTTAAATTCTTTTTCTAAACATATCCATGTGGTTCCATAAATGATTTAAAAGCATTTTTTTATTGACGTAAAAATACATTTAATGTTGTTAATGCGTCTTGAACACATAAATTTAAAATATGACATTGCACATCTAGTGTGAAAAAATTGTCCACCAAATTTTAGGTTGACAAAAGAGTTTTTTAATTTTCCCCCCATTTTTTTTTTAAAAAATAAAAATGATTTGGCGGCTTGTAATTTTTGGGGGGGGCAAAAAAAACTGGGCATTATTCAAAACCAATTGTAAAAATTTTTTTAGTCAAAACCATATTCTTCTAAAATAATATTTTAACATGGTTTAAAAAGAACTTATTATGTTGCGTGTGAGAGTTCATCAAAGAACTCTAAGTTCAATAATTCTTTTTTTCAAGTTGTCCATTCATTTTAGTAAATCCAATGGGATTTAAAACCCATATAAGAATGAGTTTGCCAAGCATCACACCAAATATTCCACAACAAATGGCAATTTTTACCATTAAAATTGCAATCAATACATACCTTAAAAATTTCTTTTTCTTTTAAATAAATAGATAAATAGTCCTTTTTTAAGTGTTTATTCCTAGGGTATCTTATATTGCTAAAGGATTTAATGCTTTTTTTACAATAGTTAATTAAAATTCCAATTTTTTCACAAATGAAAAAGATTAATCGTTCCATACAAAACCATTTTAGCCATTCCCAATTATTGTTTCATCCAATTTTATTAGTTTCATCACTATATTTAAATAGAGGAGTGTTAGGATCACTATACCTTGATGACGATAATTGAGTTTGAGTTAGATCCATTCCTCCCTCACTTGGATGATGTGATTTTAAATGCCTATTAAGAGTGCCATAGCCTCCTCCATGCTTGAATGCATATTCTTTTTTCAATAATTCCATCAAACCGCATTGAATTCTCTGTTATCTTGAACAATTTTTGCAAAGTGCTTTTTGAAAATATCTGATTTTGGTGGCTTACCTATTGAAATATTAGGAGATGTTGCTTTTTGTGGTGGATGATGACGAATATAATGTTCCTTAACTAGAGTTCGATATTGAATTTCATCATTAAATTGTGGTGAAAAATCAATCAATGGATCGTTTGAATCGATTTCTTCCACGCTTTGAGCAACTCGCTTTCCCTTGGAGCTTTATGAATTGTGTGCCATGTTTTTAAATTGAATTATGGGAAAAAAAATGAATAAATGGAATATGAAATTAATGGAATGAGTTGGAAATTATTAAAACAAATCAAATGAAGTAAATTTATGAATGAAAAAATTGAGATTAGAAGGAATTTAGAATTGGTTGTATGAAAATAAAAAATAAACAATAGATAATTCTAATATTAAGGAAAATAAAGCAATAGAAAAAATAATGAACTATCGAAATTTGAGAGAATTTTGATTGACAATAAGAGAAGAGCTAGGATATAATTGGTTATGAAAAAAAAAATCATCAACTCATCATATTTATACATATTAGAGCCAAAAAACAAAACTTAATTTCTTAATTCATAACACTTCTCATAAAACTTATTTTTTTTTAGTCTTCTTGAAATTATGATGGAAGCTTAATTTAAAATTTAAGTAATTCATGAAAATTCCATACTTAGGCACAATAAATTAACATAGGAAAATTTCTCATTAAACTCATTTTTTTAAAACTTTCTTAAAGTCATAACAAGAATTAACATAAATAAAATCTTATCATATAAGTCATACTTTCCTTATGCAACTCAAGGCACACATACTTCAAGCACCCATTTCTCATAACTTTAAATATATGAAAATTATCAAATTTATCATACTTATGTAAATCAAGTTACTATTACTCAAAACATAAAAATTTGACTTATATAGTCAATAAGAGCATTCTAGTCATTTCCCACTACTTCCTTGAGAAGTAATATTTGGGTGGTTAAGATTAAGTCAATGGTACTCTAATCTAATGGCTAAAAATATTCTCCAATTAAATTCCTTCAAAATATTATTTATCTCTACAAAACTTTTCTTGATTGGATATTAATATAGGGAAAAACAAAGTAATATTTGTAATTTTATTATATTAACTAAAATTTTTTAATTTGTACGAAAGTGAAAAGGACAAAAATTAGGGGAATGAGGGAGTAGTTATAATTATCCGAAAATACAGGTGTTAGGCGGCAAATAACAAACACATTTTGTTTAGTGCATTTTCAATCTCTCAAAATGTAGACACTTCTATGGCCAGGTTCAAAGCCACTCAAAATCGAAATGCTCATTTTGTAAGTTTCAACAGTAACAAAATCATCTCTTTCTCTCTCTATTTCTCTCAATGAAAAGCTAAAAAGAATCCATTGAAGTATAATGGCCTTTCTTCTACCAAACATCTCTCCTCCTCTCCTTCTCAACTCGAAATCCTCATCCCCAAAAGAAAAGGAAAAATCATCAAATTACCACACCCTAATACCTTCTCCTTCTTCTTCTTCTTACCAATCCACAACCATTTCAACAACAAAAAACAAACGCACCAGTAATAACACCCCCTTATCTCCTCCTCCACCTCAGGACAAGCAGAAACACCAAAAAGATGACTTCTATGTCAATCTTGGCCTAGCTGTACGGACACTTCGAGAGGATTTGCCTTCGTTGTTTGCTAAAGACCTGAATTATGACATTTACAGGTAATTTTCTCATCTCTGTAATTTTCGTTTTTCTCAATTTGTTCTCTGGAGAGGCAAAAAATTTTATTTTTGATTTTATTTTCAGGGATGATATTACCTTTCTTGACCCGTTAAATACGTTCACTGGCATTGAGAAATACAAATTGATATTTTGGGCATTGAGATTTCATGGGAAAATTTTATTTAGAGAGATTTCGGTTGAGATTTATAGGATTTGGCAACCATCTGAGAATGTAATTTTGATTAGATGGAATTTAAAGGGTGTTCCTAGAGTGCCATGGGAGGCCAAGGGACAATTTCAGGGCACTTCAAGGTATAAATTGGATAGAAATGGTAAAATTTATGAACATAAAGTTGATAATTTGGCCTTTAATTTCCCTCAGCCACTTAAACGACCTACTTCTGTGTTGGATTTGGTGGCTGCTTGCCCAGCTAGCCCTAATCCCACATTCTTGTGGGGCCCTTCTGTAGATTTGTATTCATCTTCTTGGGTGGAGTTTTATAGCGCAGTTAGAGAGACTTTGGATCAAGAAAGCTGCCAATTACTACAAGTGCAGGATGCTTTGGTTACTTGCTCATAGTGTACATTCAAGAATTTTGATTCATCAGATATGTATTATTATAAGTCAATTATTGAATCAAAGAATCCAATCCAAATAGTATTATGTACATAGGCAAAGATGCTAAATACTTCAATTTCTGCTAGTGGGGTTAGAGAAGCTCACACATTTCATAAGCTCCTATAGGTCAGATATGTATACTAAATCTTCCACTTATTATTTAAATAATAGAGCTTTTTTTTTTTTTTCTTGAAAAATCTGTTAATCATTGCCTAGTTTCTTGGTTGTCAAAGATGATTCCTTTTTCTGTCTCTGTCCGAGGATAGTTTTATTCCTGAGTCTCTTTCATGCAATTCTGATGTGAATTCTTATAAATCTGAGTATTTAACATATGTTGGAGAAACCTTTGATACATTTCAAGCTTTCTTCTTCCCTTTATTGTCTTGTTTTGCACTAAATGGATTAGATGAAAAGCAATTATTTTTTCATTGAAGCAATTTTCTCATTCATGGCATTTTCTATGATTTTTATGTTGTTTATGATACATCTCAAATAAGTTATGCTTTTTTTTGCTAGCATTTGAATGCAGTGTCTTGTCAAGTGAAAATAATTGAATGAATGGTGAAACTATTGACAATAAATCACTTAGGAGATGTATTAGGAAGTGTTGTGTGATTAGAGAATAGGACCTTTTTCTTTTCTTTCAGATTGTTCATAGAGTAAGACTTGGATAAGAATGAAGAAAATATATTTATGGAGCTTTCTTGATTGGTTAGGGAAGAACTCTTCAGGTATGCATGTGGATGGAAGTCTGATTCTTATGATAAAGTTTTGTAGTGGAGACTCAAAAGAACTCCTAAGGAGCTCCAGATTTCAGAGCAAATTTTAGGTCAGAAGAAACAGGATTCGCTTGGTGTGAATTAGTGGTCTTACTACTGCTAATGTTATTAACTCAGCTGTTTTTGCAGTCATATTCACGGCTTACAAGCCAATTGTGATAATGCATAGCAAAATTTCTTCATCCATTTCTCCTCCAATAGTTCTTGAGATTTCTACTTATGAGTTTACAAGTCGAACTGAAGAATGTATTGCAGGAGATCAAGCATACATTGGTGTTTGAAGCAAGTGGTGTCTAACTCCAATCTGGGGTGATGGGGATCATAACTGTGGTATGATGCTAGCAATTAAATTCTCTTTTAAGTGGTTGTTGGAGGTAAAGATAAAGAAGAGATTTGTCTTTGAGGTAAGAGATGATATGGAAAATTGAACAAGTAAAAAATAAAAAAGGGAGTAAAAGGAATGATAGGCAATTTGATTATTAATCAATGATATGTCATGTTGGTGTAGATACTAGATAGGGTATAATGCATAAATTTAACCTTGTATTTTTTGCGGTCATCCTTGTGGCTTTCTTAACTTTACAAGGGTTCAATTATAATCCTATATTTTTACATTTCAATAACAATTATGTATATTTTTACATTTCAATAACAATTATGTCCATTGCCAAAATGAAATATGAAAGTGCAGGATTATGATTAAACCTCCTTAAAGTCATTTCATTTTGGTGAGGAACACAGTTGTTGAAATGTGAAAATATAAGGTCATTATTGAAACCCTACAAAATTTAAGGGGCGCAATGATAATCGGTCAAAGTTCAGGATCAAATTTATACATTAAGTCGTGTAGATAGAGAAGGTTTGTGAAGGATAGGGCACTAGAGCCTTGTCCTCTTGTTCTTATACTCGCTTAAATCTTATCAAACGATGGAAGAAATATTCATGAAAAAGTTCCAGCCAATTTCTATTTTTAGTGATGAGGAAACCTTCAACCGGGTGGGTCTTTTGGCAACAGAAATTACTTGCTTAGACCGAGTCTATAGCCACGCTTATGGGCCAAACCAATGACAGTAAGAATTCTTTAAAAAGTGTTCAATTTGACTTCATCTTTCTTTTTCTCCATGTATGATCAGAAATACTCTCATTTCAATAAGAAATCTTATTCTCGTTGGTTTGGTTTATGAGTGAGGCAATGGACTCGGTTTAGGTAAAAGTTTTCCTTTTGTGACAGGCACAACAAATTCTAGGCAGCGGAGAGAATGGGAAAGTGTAATTGTCTAAATAAAAAATATTTGCTCTAGATTTAACCATGTCTATGTGTAAATATTATCACCTAAAGTTGTTTCCAAATTGTATTTGGATAACTAAATTTTTTACTTAATATATTTTCATACCATATTGCTCAAAATTGAAATTTAAAAGTAATTTTTGGTGTAAAAGAATGATTTTATTTAACTTGATGTCCATCTAAAATTGCCAAGTTGGCTTTAAATATATATTTGAGGTCTAAGTTTAATAAAGAAAAAAATAATTTAATATTGGTTTTTTATTTCATATTTTTTAATCTCCTAATTTAAAAAAAAAAATCAATCTCTTAATTATATTCAAATACATGAGTCAAAAATATTGAATTGTAGAATTTAATTATATGTCTATCAATTTAATTAGTCAAAAATATTGAATTTTAGAATTTAATTATATGTCTATCAATTTTATCTATATTACACAACTACATAATTCTTCTGTTTATTTTTTGGTAAAATATTATTATTGTCCTGATGTATATATTAATTACATGGCATATAAAAACGCCTAAAAAGAGTAAATTATTATAGTTCGCTGATTATTCAAATACACTAGAAAAGACCCACTTTTAAAAATTTTAATTATATATATAAAATTCATGGTTACATAGCGAAGTTAGAAATTAATATTAAGATAACAAATTTGAAAAAAAATAAATAAATGAAAGAAAGAGTATAAATTCCGGCAAGTCTTAGGACTAAAACATAAAAAGTAGATTTATAGCACTGGCTGGAATGAAATATACCATCAATTCAATTGATAGGATTATTCCTCAAATCTTTTCATATATTCTTCTCATTTTTTTTATTTTAAAAAAAAGAAAAACCTGTAATATATGGAGGGAGGCAAGTAAAGATAATCTAAATTTGTTCTTTTAACTAATTTATATGTTTGTAGAATACATATATTCACCTTTAAATTTTATTACTTTAATTTTATGGCACTTTTAATTTTTACTTTCATCAATCAAGTACTTTAATTTGCATAATTATTTTATTGAAAATTTCAATTTATAAAATTAAAATTAAACACTTTAAATAATTAAAAAATGTAAAAATTATTGTTTTAAAAGCTATGCTAATTATATATCAAATCAATATTTTGCATATTAAAACTAAAAATTCTAAAAACTATTGCTATTAGTGTGAAAAGTGTGCAATATTACCAAAATTTGCAAGTCAAATACGTAATATATCATTTATATCGTTTAAAGTACCACAAAATTAAAATTGTGAAGTTAAGAGATGAATTTATTTATTTAGCCTTTATATGTTGTATTAATCTTGCATTTATGTGCCATTTAATTATATTAGAAACATCAATGCAAGCAATTTAAAAAAAAAAAAAAAACTTTGAGATTAATAAAGTAATTAAATAGAAATTTTCACCCTTTTTTCCTATAATAACCCTAATCAGCCTTAAATATATACCAAATAGCGAGGAAGCCAACTCATGAATAGAGTATACCCCTGGTGCATTTATTAGCCTAAATTTTTGAGAATTGCAATGGTCTCTTCAACTTCAAATTGGAATGTTCAGTAGATTTACATCATTTTCAAAAATATGGCACTAGTTGACGCGAAATCCTATGGAAATTAATTCCAATAACTCTATGACAAGATTTGGAATAGTTCAAAGATCAAACTAAACTCTCCTCTATGACATCCAAAGCTTAAAGAAGCAAGAACATCAATAATAGAGTAAAGAATAAGATAAACGCCACAAGTAAATTGATAAGTTTACCTTGATTCTTCTCTTCAACTTTCAAATTGGGCAATGTTCAGTAGTATTACAGTCATTTTTCAAAAATATGGCACTAGTTGACGCGAAATCCTATGGAAATTAATTTCCAAAATAACTCTTATGACCAAGATTTGGAATAGTTCAAAGATCAAACTAAAAACTCTTCCTCTATGACATCCAAAGCTTAAAGAAGCAAGAACATCAATAATAGAGTTAAAGAATAAGATAAACGCCACAAAGTTAAATTTGATTAAGTTTACCTTGATTCTTTGATTGCAATTAGAGGGAATGCACTCTCACAATCTCTCTAATCAAAGAACACGCCTAAGCAGAACAAAACTGTAGATTTTCTTATGTTTCAATGATTTTGTGTTTTGTTGTACAATTTAAACAGCTATTTATACTAAATACATAGAGTCCTAATTTCCTTAAAGGATTTTAGAATAATTAATTCTTAAATTCAGCTAAGGATAAGGATTTAGCTTAATCTAAACCAACAAGGATAAGACTAGCAAAATCTTAACAAACTTAAGGATTTGGATTAACTAATCCCCAAAATCAACTAAAGATTAACTAAAAATTCTAAACAAATTCAAGGATACAAGGATAAAATCCAAGGGGGGTCGAATTATAGGAGGCCCCACCCATTATTATTGATACAACTCAAAAAAAGCAAAATTGGACTAACTAATCTCGCTAGAGGCTGACGCTAGCATGGCCTGGGCGTGCCAATTCGCACGGGCGTGCTTCATGGTGAATGTTTCCTCTCGCAAGTCAGACGCGGGCACGGCCTGGGTGTGCTATTTGGCATGGGCGTGCTTTATGTTACTTGATTTTCCTCTGCAAGTCAGACGCTAGCACAGCCTGGGCGTGCTACCTTGCACGGGCGTGCTAACCTAGCACGATTTGGGCGTGCCATATGCTGGAATTTCAGATTCCATCTCAACATGTGCTTCCATTATGGAAAGCAAGGTCATGGAGGTCTTGTGTGACTTGTTCTTGAATGTATAAGGACATAGTTGCTCCATATTTCTTTTGCACGGCTCCTTTGTAATTGGTTCCACTTAGGAAGTTTACTAATGGATTGCCATTGTTGTGCTCCTTGTTTTCCTTGAGCTACCATAGGTGATTGGTGTGATAGTGGATCTCGTTATTCATCCCCCCCTTCTTTAAAAAGATTTGTTCCTCAAATCTGCATCCATTGTCAAAAAGGAGACAAATCACTAATATTGAAAGTAACGTAAACACCATTACTTCACCTTGTAAGTCTATCTTGTAGTGTTGTCATTAACGTGGCTCCAAGATTTTGGAAGATGGTCCATTCCATCTCCACGTTCATCAAGCTTAATCTTCCTTTGGTTGGG